AATAAAATAGAAATAGAAATAAAACTTTTAAAAAAATTGAGCTTTTACTGTGTACCTTGCATTATGTCTAACACTTTATATGCATTATCTTGTTCAGTGTTTATAACCCTATAAACAAAATACTATTGATATCTCTATTAAATAATGAATTTGAGGCTTACACATTGTCATGCTGTGGTTGTCACATACACATTTTAGTAAATGAAAGTTAAAGCTTGAATATATTTGTTGGATTCTAAATTCTGTGTGTTTTACTGATATGCTCGCTCCTCTATCAAAAATAACCAAATCTTAGAATAGTGGTTTTCTTCCTTGACAATTATTAGACTCACCTAGGGAGATTTTTTAAAAAATCAATAGTGAACCTCATCAAAGATTCTGATTTGATTTGTTAGGAATGTAGGCCCATCATTGCATTCTTTTTAAAAGCTTCTATTCATCCAGTTTATTCAATAAATATTTAATAAGTACCTACTCTGTTCTAAACACTCTCTAGACATTTATATTCTAGTAATTTATATCAGTTATTACTGCCACAGTGATTATGTAACAAAACCCACACAGTTCTGTGGCATGGGAAAATGACTCTTGTTAAATACTTGTTCTCACAGATTTGGAAGCTAGCTGAGATTCAGCTGATTAGGAGCATTTCTTGGGCAACTCTGATTCAGACTGAGGCAGCTCTACTTTTTTGCTGCAGAACTGATTACACTATGGGGGCTAGGCTTCCCATATTTCTAATCATCCTTGCAAGGGTGGACTATGGTCCTTGTTTCCCTTGTGTCTCATGACAGTGGCAAAATGACAAAAGGAAACAGGTACAATTCTGAGTATACTAATCTTAGCCAAAGCAAATCTCATGGCCAAGCTCAGAGATGAGATTGGAAAATAAGCACCACTTGTGTGTGTGTGTGTGTGTGTGTGTGTGTGCGCTCAAAATTTCACATTAAAATTTACGGATTGTCATTGCAAATGGGGTTTTCTTTTCCAAGATATTTTCTGACGATTCTTTGTGTATATGATGATGTTGGTGTTTTCCCATAGCTGGTTTCAGTTTCAGCCCTGGCTCTCTGGCTTTCCAGGCATGCTGCTCCTCACCTGCCTGCAGGTGGCTGAGCCCTTCTCCCTGCTGAGTCTCTGGCTCCACTGTTCTTTCTTTGGCCTTGTTCCTGGACCTCATCATATGGTTCTGTAAATAACGGGCCTCTGAGCCTCATTCTGACCTTAGTGTTTCCCAAGAAGAGGCTGACTTTCTGATACAGACAAACATGTATGGCATGTAGTATTTCTTTTTTTTTCATATTTTATTTATTATTTTTATTTTATAAGTGCATCACCTGCATGTATATGAGTGCACCCGTGTCGTGCAGTGCTGCGGAGGTCAGAAGAGGGCTTCAGATTCCCATGGAACTGGAGTTAAGGACGGTTCATAGCTGCCATGTAGGTGCTGGGAATCGAACCCAGGTCTTCTGCAAGAGCAGCCACTGCTCTTAACCACTGAGTCATCTCTGCAGCTCCCAGTGTGATTTCATAAAGCCCATTGTATTAGTCTATTTTCTATTTTTATGATGAGCTATCTGAGGCTGGGCAACTTATAAAAAATGAGATTTGCCAGGTGAGGTGGCACGCATCTTTGATCCCAGCACTTGAGGCAAGATGACAAAAGGAAACAGGAACAATTCTGAGTATACTAATCTTAGCCAAAGCAAATCTCATGGCCAAGCTCAGAGATGAGATTGGAAAATAAGCACCACTTGTGTGTGTGTGTGTGTGTGTGTGTGTGTGTGTGTGTGTAGAATTGCAAGGTTTATGGCAAAAGCCAAAAATTGGACCCAGTAATTCAGTTTAGCTGGGAAAGATGATATAGAATAATAATTATAATATAAATAATCAAGTATGGTAGAAAGTGGCAAGTTGTATTGCAAAGAAAAATAGGTTTTAGAAGATACTATGCATGTGATACTAATCTGTGGCTAGGACTGAGAACCATTGCTCTTAAAATGGTAAGAAAGAAACCTAGGGTTGGCCTTGCCTCAACCATATTGAAAATATAAACCAGATCCTAAAACATGAAGAATCTTACTCAACATCCATAGGTAGCCAGAAAGGAGACTAAGGCCTAGGTTTCTTTTTCTTTTTTGTTCTCATTTTTGAGACAGGGTTTCACTGTGTAGGCCTGGCTCTCCTACAATTCATTATGTAGAACAGGCTGGCCTTGAACTCACCGAAACCCACCTTTCAAGTGCTGGGATTAAAAATATGCAGTGCTGTGCCTGACTTTTGGCATAGGTTTCTTAACTTTTAGACTATGGTATTTGAATCTATAGTCTTAGACTTTTCCTTTTACCAGGATCACCAAAAATACATTGTAGAAAAGCATGATGGTTTTTATCTCTGTTTTGAATTACAGTGTTCTTGATTTTCTAGGATGACTAGTCGGAAGAAAAGAAAAGATATGGAACCTGCTTGTACCTGGAGTTTATTATCCAGAGAGAAAGGTGAGTAAATGAGTAGAGTACAGAGAAGTCAAAAGGTGAACCTGTCTGTTCTCTTTCTCCTACTTCTCATAACCTGTGGGATTCGTCTGAATCTTTACATTTTTGTTAGTTGTATATGCATTATTAAGATATAGTATTTGCCTAATAATCTCTTGACATTTACTCTACAACTTTTATGTTGCCCACATTGATGAAAAAGGAAAGTGGAAAGCTAAGGGTGCATCTGCATTTTCCATTGTTTGACATAATTCCCAACCATTTTTAATTGTAAACACTCTAAACGTCCCTTTTTGCTTTAATCATAGCATTCTCACAAGAGTTATTACAAAAGAGCAAAGAGTAAAGTTTCCTGGCATCCTTATGGTTCATTTCTATAGGGAACAGAGGAGACTGCTCACTTGCCTGTAAATGTCTAACTTCCACTGTTCCAAGCTCTGCTTTCTTCCCACTTTTATCACTCATTTTGTCACATCTTCTCATCTATAAGTGCAGTGTTTTTAAGGGTTTGCAGTGGTTAAAAAGAAAAAAAAGGTGGCACACACCTTAAATCCCAGCACTGAGAGGCAGAAGCAGGCATATCTCTGAGAGATTGAGGCCAGCTTGGTCTACATAGCATGTTTCATGCCTGCTATGGCTACAGAGAGACCCTGTCTCAAAAAGACCAAAAAAAAAAAATGCTCAAAACAAGGAATGTGGAATTATGTTTGTGCTTCTAGGTTCTTATTTTTTAAGTACACATGCAAGTGTTTGGATTGAGTATTGTATATGCATTTCAGTGTAGGTTATTGTATAGGTCTGTTGAAATAATGTTTAGTAATGCCTTATTTGTCAACATAACCAAGTTAGGCTCTATTGTGGTTCAAATGTGAAATGCAGAGGCAATGTGACCAGCTGCCTGACACTCCTGTTGTGCCTTCCCTGGCATGATGGGCTGTACCCCTTGAGTCTTAAGGCATAGCAAACCCTTCCTCTCTTTAGGTGCTTCTTCTCAGGTATTTGATCAGAGCAACAAGAAAAGTAATTAATACCGTCTCAAAAGAGACTTTAGTAGAAGCAATAGTCTAATGTTCAATGGAAAGCAAAATGCCAGAAAAAAGTCACCTCAATTATTGTATATATCTTTAAGTTCATGCCTAAATTTTTCTTATTAATTGTTATGTAAGTTATTCTTGATTCTCAACTTGCTTGTATTGAGAAATACATACGAGATTAGTAAAGAACACTTGTAAACCCTGTAAGGGCATTTCCAGAAAGGATTAAAGAGAGGAGAAGGACTCACATGTAGAAAGGACAGTCCAATAGGTTGGGTATCTAGATAGAATAAAAGGGAAGAAGGAAGCCCCCTATCTTAGGAATATTCTTCTACCATGATGTTTTCCCTTATTATAAGCAAGAAACAATTGAGCCAGCCAACCATGGATTAGACCCTCTGAAACTCTGAGCCAAAATAAAAACCTTCCTTCTTTTAACTGTTTCTGTCAGGTATTTCTCACATCAATGTAAGTCTGACTTAACAGTTATATAAACTAAAATGTTTATACCATAAATATAGGTGCAAGGGAAGTTCTTGTGTTTCACTTTATGTTGGACATTAGCTAAAATGCCTATGTGAGAATATCAGTTACTTTTCTCATTGCTATGACAAAATACCTGACTAAAATAACTTAAGGTAGGAAAGATTTATTTTCGCTCACATTTTGAGGGTGCAGTCCATCATAGCAAAGAAGGCATGGTGGGCAAGAGTGGGAAGCAGCTGGTCCATTGCATCCATAGTCAAGAATCAGGGAGCGATGAATGCTGCTGCTTAGCTGTCTGTCTCTTTTTTGTTCAGTTCAGGACCCCAGCCCATGGAATGGTGCCACTCACAGTTAGGATGGGTCTTCCTACCTCAGCAAGCTTAATCTAGAAACTCTCTTATAGGCATGCCAAGAGGTTTGTGTCCTAGATGATTCTAGATCTGGAATCACAAGTCCACCCCTTGCTAACTTGACACCCAAATGCTCACTGATATGGCTAATCTAAATAGCATGACTCTGCTTTCCAAGTTCAGAAATTACAGGCAAGCTCTTATACCCACCCAGCATCAACATGGATTATGGGGATCTCAGATCCAGTCCTCAAGCTTGCATGATGAGTGCTTTATCTACTGAACACCAGCCCCTGACTTTTAAATTGTAACCTTCCACCCCTTGTCCCCATAGGTTTAAGACTATCTTATAGTGCAAAATGCATTCAGTCCATTTCTAAAAGTTCCCATAGTTTTAAGGTCCCAACACTGTTCTAAAGTGTAAGTGCAGAGTCTCTTCTGAGAGTAAGGCAATCTCTTAACTGTGAGTACCTATAAAATTAAAAAGTTACACTAGAGCCTGGTCAGCTTATCTATCATTACTCACTTAAAGAAGACCAAACATTCCCTCACCCAGTAGTGGTCAGCTCTGAGGGAGGTACAGATAGGAGAGGGGATCTAAATGTGATTAAGATGTATTGCATGAAATGCACAAAATTCAATAAAAATATATATTGTGAGAAAAGAGAAGTTACATACTTCCAACATATAATGGAGAAGAGTAAAGATTCCCATTCCAAAAGGGAGGAATGAGGCCATAGCAAGGAAAAATGGGATCAAAGCAAGACCAAAACCCAGCAAGGAAAACACCAAACCTTGCAGCTCTGTCATGATGGATTCATTTGGGCTCCAAAGGGTTTGGGTAGCTTGACGTCTGTAGTTCTGCCACCTATAGCAAACATATCCTCTCTCTTGGGCTAGCTCCACTCCATGACTACACCTTTCCTCACAGGATGTCCCATTGTCTTGGCATCTCCAACATCCAAGGGTCTTTTTTGCCAGTTGGACCTCACCTTCACAGCAGCTTCAAACAATGGCTTCTCATGACTTCCTTATGGAGAATCTGAACCTACCTCATCTTGCTTGGCCTTAGCAGACTTTCTGAACCTTTGTATAAGCCTCCATGACTCCCTGTTCTTGCCACCTATCATGTCTCTAAAAGAAATACTATATGGATAGTGCTGCCAAGTTGTGCCGACAGCTTGAGATGTAGCCTGACCCTCTTTTACCACAGTTATATTTAGTTCAGTATGTTTTCCAGGCTCATCCACAGGCATTTCTTTCCTGGGCCTTTCTTTTTAGACAGGGAACCCATTCAGGTGTGTTCTCAGTTGATCTTCTCTGCTTTCAAATGAAGTTAGACTTTCACAAGTTGGAGCCTTAGATGGGTGACGTTTTACCTTTAGGTTACCTTTCCTGTTGTCCAAGTGCATATGGTTTCTCTTTATTGGTACTTCCTTGCTTTCTCAGCATTTGCCTTTTCTAGAATTTTATTTATTTAAACATTTTTTTATTTAGTTTTATTTTATGTGTATAAGTGATATGCCTCATATATGTAAGTGCACCCATGTTGTGCAAAGCCTGCTGAGCATAGAATAAGGGGTTGGAGCCTCTGGAACTGGAGTTATGGACAGTTGTTAGCCACTATGTGGGTGCTTGGAACCAAACCCGGGTCCCCTGCAAGAACAACCAATGCTCTTAACTGCTGAGCCATCACTCCAGCCTCAGAATTTTGGATTTTATAGTACATATATAGTGAAAGACTTCAAAAATTTTTGGTCAGGGAAATGACATGCTCTAGTTGGTATTTATAGAAAATAAGTGTTGTGTGGAAGTACATGGGCAAGAGTAAGTAGGTAGGAGACTGTTTCAGCAGCCTAAGAGAGAGTTCATAGTGCATTGCACTTGAGTAACATCTAACGACATACTGGTAAAGTGAATTTGAGGCTTAATTTTGGAGGTATAATAATGTATGCCTTATTAGTTGACTGATAATTGAAAGAAAAAAGAATATCTTCTGAGATCGCTGGGAAGTGTTGTTTTGAGGGATAAGAGTGGTATAGAAATCAAGAGGTCTGATTTAGACATGTAAAATTTAAGGAGACATTGGAGCATCCAAGTAGAGATGCTGATGGTGGCTATTTAAGTTATAGTTGTTTTCAGTGTTGTCAATCACTCTGCTTTATTAACTCTTGGTGTTACCTTATTAGATTACCAGGAAATATACAGAAAGCATCTAAGAGAAAAATACATAAAGATAGGAGTTGATCGATGTTATCACCATGGCAAGTATATAGAGCCACGATTACTTCTTATAAAAGAATATGGCGTATCAGAAGAGAAACTGTGTGGAATTCCTCAGCAAGATCATTTTATTGAGATGGAACATGTGTTTGATCCTGATGAAGTGGGCTGCAGTCCAAGTCTAACTGTGGTGCTTCAGGGAGGTGCTGGTGTTGGCAAAACGGCTTTGGTGCACAAGTTCATGTTTGACTGGGCAACAGGAGTGGTTACACCAGGCAGGTTTGACTATCTCATATATGTTAACTGTAGAGAAATCGGCCATAGCACTAGCCTAAGTGCTGCTGACTTGATCACCAGTGCTTTTAAAGACAGAAGCGGACCCATCCTGGACATTCTTCTTGAATATCCAGAGAAGATTCTGTTTATTCTTGATGGATTTCCTGAACTGCAGTACCCCGGGTGTGACCAAGAAAAGGATCTTAGCCCTAACCCCTTTGAGAAGAAGCCAGTAGAGACCCTCCTGTGTAGTTTTGTAGGGAAAAAGCTATTTCCTGAATCTTCTCTGCTGATAACTGCTCGGCTCCCAGCAGTGAAAAAGCTCCAGTCACTGTTGAAACAACCTATTGAGGCAGAGATTCTATGGTTTAGAGATACTGAAAAGAGAGCATATTTCTCAAGTCAGCTTTCAAGTGCTGATACAGCAATGGAAGTCTTTGATGGTTTGCAAGAAAATGAAGACCTTGACATTGTGTCTTCTCTTCCCATTGTCTCCTGGATGTTATGCAGTGTCCTGAAGTCACAGGGAGATGATAATATGACTACTTTGAGGTCCCTTCAGACCATGACTGATGTGTATCTGCTCTACTTTTCTAAGTACTTTGAAACCCTCACAGGCGTCTCAGTGTGGAAGGGACAAAGTTGGATGTGGGGCCTTTGCTCTTTGGCTGCAGAGGGACTGCAGAAGCGTCAGGTTCTATTTTCAGTCAGTGATCTCAGGAGACATGGGATCAGAGTGAATGAGACCAACTGTGCTTTTCTTGATCAGTTTTTTGAAAAAGCTGAAGGTGGCGCCGACGTCTACACTTTCCTTCACTTTAGTTTCCAAGAGTTCTTGACTGCTGTGTTCTATGCCCTGAAGAATGACAGTGGCTGGGTGTTTTCTGATCAAATGGGGGAAATATGGCAAGAAATATTTCAACAATATGGAAAAGGCTTTTCATCACTAGTGATACAGTTCTTATTTGGCCTCTTACGTAAAGGAAAACAAAAAGCTGTAGAAATGACTTTTGGAAGAAAAATCTCTCCAGGCCTTCAAGGAGAGTTACAGAGGTGGACTGAGAGAGAAATAAAGGATAAATCTTCTAGGTTACAGACTGAAGCAGTGGACTTGTTTCATTGCTTGTATGAGATGCACGAAGAAGAATTTGCAAGAAGAATAATTGATCATTTGCAGTTGGTTGTACTCCTGCAACCTACCTATACCAAAATGGACATGCTAGCCATGTCATTTTGTGTCCAAAGCAGTTACAGTCACCTGTCAGTATCTCTGAAGTGTCAGCATTTACTTGGATTTGAGAAGGAACAGCCAGCCCCAGGATTCATGTCACCAGCATTATCATCTAATGAGTAAGTACATATATTTATGTCTTTCCTCATGTTTTGGTCTTCATAGTCAATGGACCTGCTTGTTTATGTATTCACATGCATGAATATTTTGAGAATTGTGAATAGATCACCTCAACTTTCCATATTTTATGTTAATCAGTACAGCGAGGATTTAGTGAATACCATACATTGAATAGTGGCCTAAGTAGACACTGTGGAAACCTAACATTTTGGAGCATTTCCTGTATGCCAGGCACTGTAATAGCCACCACCAGTGGGCCTATGTGTATTAGTGTTTATTGTACTCTGCAGATGTACTTCATAATTATAAAGTACTAATAAGCATTTAAAGTCATCAGGGTTGTCATTGAGGACTCTGTACTTTTTGTATAGATGACCATCACTCTCCTTTACATGGACTTCATCATCAAGGCCTCAGAGAGCTCTGGGTTGGTAAAGGGCAGAGTTACACTTCTGTGTATCTTGCCATAAACCCTGAGATCTTCCCACCAAGCTTTCACAGATGGTCAGGGCTCAAGTTTTTATAATATGAACTCTGTATGTTATGGAATATAGTTCAGCTGACATTAATTGAAATTGCTAAGATGATCCAGGCATGGTGGCACATAACTTTAGTCTCAGTGCTCAGGAGGGGGAGGCAGTCAGATCTCTGTGAGTTCGAGGCCAGCTTGGTCTACATTCCAGGACAGCTGGGGCTACAGGGAGACCCTGTCTCAAAAAAAAAAAAAAACACAAAGTAAAAAAGAAAGAAATATAAACGATGATTTAGACGTATCCTCAATAAATCAGTTAAATTCTACTGCAATGAATCTCCACTATTAGGCCATCTTGGTAGGGTACCTTGAGAAAGATAGGTGAGTGAGAAAGTTCTACTTGAGGAATGTGTTAACATAGTCATATATAAATATATATTATTGAATTTTTGTGTATTTCATACATAGCATCTTAATCATCTTTATACCCCCTTCCCAATAGGCACCCCCCCACTGGATTGTGTGCATTCTGTCATTTATGTTAAGGCCTATTGAGTCAAGTTAGTGTCCCCTGACGTTCCTCATAGTCTTCTCTTATAGTTGTCTTAGTTTCTCAGTGGGCAGTAGTATGGAGGTGGAAATGGAGTGTAGGATGTGCTTCAGAAAAGTGGGGAGGAGAAAGGTGCAAAAGTAGTTCAGAACTATTGGAGAAAGGGATTGGTGGGTTGTTATATAGGGTTGTCTTCCGATAGACGCCATCTTCCTGAGTTCAGCTGTGCTCCTTTGCCAAAGATTGCCACAGCTGGGCTTGTTGACTCTATGCTTCCATATAGGAGGAGGAACATGGAGAGTCACAGGACCCTCATCTGGGTATCTGCCCACACCTCCCAACCTCTGGTGTACAATTTGGCCTCAAGTGCACATGGCTGTGAGGAAGGGCTAGAATATATAGGCTGGGGAAGACTAAGGGAGGGGCTCTCTATTTATGTGACTATGGGAGAAGCCATCATCCATGCCTGGGTGAAGACTTTCCCCTGTGGCCTTGGGAGGGGGGAGGAGTACTAACACTCCTGTAAGTAAACCCTTAATCATTGCTCTCTAATGAAGCCCAATAAACCTATTGGTTTCCCAGAGTGTACTTTGGTGGAATTGTACCTTGATTTGTTTTTGGGACCTGGGGAGGAGGTGGATGTTGTTTACATCCTTCCCCCAGGGAAGGAGTTCTAGCAACATGAGTTTAAATGGATTCTGAATTAGGAAGGACCTTGATTACAAGGTCCCTATGAATTAATGACAGATTTAATTGAGCTGCATATTACAAAATGAAACAATGATCTGATATTTGAGAGGTTTAAAACATTGATGAAAACAAAAGGAGTCTTTTACTCATTTAGGGGTTCTTTTTTGTTGTTCTGCTTTTTTCTTTTTTAAAATTTGTTTTTATTGAATTTTTGTGTATTTTATACAGAATAGCTCAAAGAATCTTAATCATCCCTATACCCCTGTCCCCACTGGCATGCTCCCACAGCCCCCCAACTGGAACCCATATACTCTCTCATCCATTCAATTTCGTACTCATTTGGAATTTCCAGGAATCCAGTTTTTAGTCAGAATACTGTTGTGTGACACTATTCCTGGGGGACATATGAACAAATATTTGTTTACCCCAGATAGGGAACAAATGACAGACAAAAGAAGACCACTGAAGTTCAAGTTTTATTGGGGTTAGTTACAGGAACGTGGGTGAGGGTTTACTTATAGGAGCAGAAAAAGACTCAAAAACAGCTGCATCTCCAAAGCCCACCCCAGAATGAGTGATGGCTCATGAAAGGCGGAAACCTGGAGCTTGCTGCACCACTTGCCTTGCAGCTCAACAGGCTGGACCATGTCTTTTCCAGGCAGTTATGGGATGGTGACTCAGGACTTTACCTTGTTGTTCTGCCCACCCTATATAGAAAGGTTTTGCTATATATAGATAGCATAATGCTAACCCTTAAGTATTTTGCAGATTTGGAGACCCATTTGAGAACCATGTGAGTCCACTTGAAGGAGCAAGGATGGATAATTGTTTTGTTCTGAGCCTCTTCTAGGTAGCTCAGTGGGACTGAGAATGTCTCCCAGCAGCCCTTACTGCTTCTGTAAACTTGGGGTGGGAGGGGCTAGTGCATCTGGTCATTTTCAGGTCTCTGGGACTTCTTAAAGTTTTTGAGTTGTTTACTTCCTGAGTCTTTAGCCCTGACTGGCCTGGAACTTACTATGTAAACCATGCTGGTCTCAGTCTCAACAGAGATCTGCTTGCCTCTGTATTCCAAGTACTGGGCTTAAAGTCCTGTTCAACAGTGCCGAGTATACTTCAGGTCTTAAGGAGCCTCCCTTTAGAACATCTGAGTCTTAATAGGAACTTTCCTACAGAACGGAGTGTTTTTTCTTGGAGGAAATTGCTATGTAACACACCACCCGTTCCTTTGGCTCTTGCATTCTTTTTGTTCCCTCTTCCACAATAGCCCCTGAGCTTTGAGGGGGGGGGGGTGCCATAGAAGTCTGAATATTCCTCTCTAATTCTAATGGAATTACCAAACCTCTTGTGCTCTTATTTACCCTTCCATTTCCAGAGCTTGGCTAATAGTGAGTCTTGTTTTTTTGTTTTGTTTTGTTTTTTGTTGTTTGTTTGTTTTGTTTTGTTTTGTTTTTTTCCTGCTATGAAATCCAAGTGAGGAAAGGGAAGAAAAATATTTACATGGACCCTGACAGCAGTGATAACCTATGGTTATAAACCTGAACATTGGGAAACACCTTAGCCAGTGTATCATGTTTATTTACCAAAGCAGCAGCCATTTTTTCTCCACTGGGGCCCTGTGTCTTCCCTGGCTACATGATTTTTCATAAGTTCCCAGTACCAGATGTGAATTTGCCCCTGTGGTGCAGGCCTTAAGTTCAATCAGAAAGGTGGTTCTCTCCATAACCACTTGGACTACTATTGCACAAGCTGATGACTTTGGGTCCTAATTCTCCCCCAGAATCCTTAGGAACACTTTTCCTGCACTGTAAGAGCTAGCCAGCAGGGAGGGAATACTTCCAGCTTAGTCCTAGCCTTATTTCTCCAAATCTGCAACCAAAGTGTGCAATCTCTTGCCATACAGTTCTATAATGCAACCAATAGCAGTGACAATAGTATTTATTGTTTATGGGCCTGTAGGGCCTCCCTGGCCAACAACGCCTAAGGAGATGACCTACCCTTAGCACTGGGATTTTAACAACCACCTTATGGCTTTTGGAAGTATCTGTTTCTACTGTCACAAGATACCCTTGTTTATAGCATTTACAAACCTAGGCTGTTGCAGATTTTTTCCAGGCACTTTGTGCATATCAGCTGTACCTTACTCAACCATAGAGTATCCAAGCATTTCACAGCTGCACCTAGCCCTTGGACCTTTTGTGAACGATTATCCATCCTTGAACCTTCAAGTGGACTCACATGTTTCTCAAATGGGTCTCCAAATCTGTAAAACACTTAAGGGTTAACATTATGCTATCTATATATAGCAAAACCTTTGTATAGATGGTGGGCAGGACAAGAAGGCAAAATCCTGAGCCACCATCCCATAATGAATACTGTGGTTATGGAGATAACCTTGGTGAAGGCACTCTGAAAGTATTTTGTATTGTCATTGATTCTAAGTATGTATTCACAACTAAGAAGATACTAAAGTAAAAGGCTAGCAAGATCTAATAGAGCACGAAAAACTATCCATTTATATCAGTTATCCGGCTATCTCATTCTGGGGCACTTTTGTAAGGCTTCTGTGCTTTTTTCTCACCCCTGATGACTTTGGTGGAGTTGGCTCTAGCTGCTTAGTCTGGCCGAGGGCCAGTGGGGGAATAGTTGCCCACCTTCTTGCTTATACCTGCACCTACCACTTTCACTATGCCTGGGAGGACAATCTCTGTGCCCTGGAGAGAAATGTACGTGGTTTACTTAGGGAAAGCAGCTACCTACCCCTTGATCAAGATTAATCTCTTTATCCTGCACTGTGTTATGTTTATGTCTACTAAGTGATGTTTATTGCCTCTGATCCTTCTGGAGCCACCAAGAACCAAGGCACACATGTTCTAACATCCACCCAAGCCTGAGTATTTTTAAGATGTTTTTATGGAGTCTTCAAAAATTTCATATAATGAATCCTGAGCACATTCAGATCACCTCCTCCTTTTCTATCCCTACCTTATTGTCCCCCCAACTTCATATCTCCTATTATTTTTTTAAAGACTATCAACTCTAGGGGGCTGGAGAAATGACTAAGCAGTTAAGAGCACTGGGTGCTGCTGAAGATCAGGTTCAATTCCCAATACACACATGGTGGCTAACAACTATTTATAACTCTAGTTCCAGAGGAATCCAATACCCTCTTCTGACCTCTGTGGGCATAGCATAGCATGGGTGCACTTACACACCTGCAGGCAATATACTCATGCATATAAAATAAACAAAATATTTTTTAAAAGACCTATCAACTCTTGTCTGTGTTCCCCAAATGCTCTTGGGTGTGGGTCCATACCTTGGAATCTGGTCAACCTACCAGGTGTCATACCCGTAAAGAAAACAGACTCTCCCTTCCTCAACAGCTATCAAATGCCAATAGGTCCTCAACTAGTGCTGGGTCTTCTTTCTACCTCCCCCATCCATGCTGGGTTTTTGTCCAGCTTGGGCTTGCACAGGTCTTGTGAATGCTGTCGCAAGCACTGTAGGTTCATTTTTGTAACTGCTGTGGTGTTTAGACCATACAATTTCCTTGTATTCATTTATCATCAGGCTCTTATCTTTCTGCCCCCTCTTCAGCAATGATCCCTGTCTTGGGAGAAGAAGGTATAATATAGGTGTCCCATTTAGCGTTTAAGCACTCTGCATGTTGACCAGCCATGGGCCTCTGTCATCTACTGCAAGAAGCAGTTTCTCTGGTGAGAGATGAGAGAACTAATCTATAACAGTAAGTGGGTAGGAGTCAAATTGATATGTCCATGTAGCAGAATAATAGTATTAGGTTCTCCCCTATGGCCTGTAACCTGTCTAGCCACAGGTTCTTGGCCCTGATAACAGTGCCAGGTATGGGCTCCATCTTGTGAAGTGAAAGCCAAATGTTTTTTAACGTTAATAGTATATCAATAAATCTACAATTCAACATGGGACTTTCAGTCACCCTGCATGGGACTCACCTGTAGGTATCTCTGGCCACTCTCTTAGGGAAGTGGATGTGGATATTCCTATCCTTGGAGACAGCCTTCCTCCACAGCAAGGGGTACAGTTGGAATCACCTGTACCTCAGTCTTTCTGCTTTTTTTTATTTGATGCCAGTGCTGAAATCATGGTTAGGTTATAAAGCCTTCCAAATGCTTGCCAGCACTGAATTTGGTCTTTAAAAAATATTTTATTTATTGTTTTTATTTTATGTGTATGAGTGTATTGTCTGCATGTATGTAAGTACACTTGTGCCATAATGCCCATGAAGGTCAGAAGAGGGGGTCAGATCCTTTGGAACTGGGGTCACTGTTGTTAGCCACCAGTGGATGCTGGGAACCGAACCTGGGTCCTCTCTAAGAGCAGCCAGTACTCTTAGCCAATAAGCCATCTCTCCAGCCCCTGAATTTGGCCTTTTATCAAATTTTCCTCCAAGGACTCAGCCTCTCAGTGATGCAGAGAGACCCCTTTGTTTGGCTTTTAAATAAAAATTTGCTTTTAATTGATTTAGCACTGTACAAACTCAGTTCACATTCTGGTCTAAGTCATTCAGAACTGCTAAAGCTCTCTTACTTTAAAAATATTATGTCCTACCATGGGACCCACAAAGCCACTAAAGCTCCATCCCAGTCCCACGGTCCCTGATAAACTGACCTCAGCACTTGGATGAACAGTCTCATCTTGCTTTGTGAATGGGGCATCAAATACTGCTTTTTTAAATCCTTAGTTCTTTATTTTTCCCTTATATTTTCCCTGTACTATCTGACTTTTTCAATGGGGTCCAAGTTTTTGGATCCCAGGAAGGGCTCTTTAACACAGATTTAACTTGTACTCCTTTTTCTTGTCTGACAGTTACAGGAAAAAGCAAGACAGCATCTCCATCTCTTCCCTTACACAAGCAAATTTCCATTGAGGAGCCATTTTCACCTTAGACACGTTTTCACTATACATAGCAGTAGCCACACAACTTCTGTGACTGTTGACACTCTTGTCCTGTTACTGTCCTCCCCCGGAGCCAGCCAGAGGGGGACACAGGGTCCCTGCCGATATGGGGGTGAAAGGCGCGGAGGCACGACACAGACACAGGGAGTCCAGTGAAAGCAAGCAGAGGGTGAGCTGCTGCAGACTCATTTATTCCGGGAAGCATTTGGGGTTATAAGGGGTTCCCTAGCCAATCATAGTTTCCTATGCCGTCCTTCGATATCCAATGGTAGTCTGTCTCTGGGAGGATCATCTCTCAGCAGGTTGCCATTGCCACGCCCAACTACACTGGGCCATCATGTATGCGGAAGCCCTTTCCTCATTCCTTATGGCAGGCGGCCTGAGCTGGCCTGGTTCTTTATTATGCCATACGCTTATCCCTTATGTGTTACTCTCACAGACTGCACCATTTGCTCAAGATTTAACTTTTTTTAAGACAGGATCTCCCTGTAGCCCCAGCTGGCCTGGAACTCTCTATGTAGACCAGGCTGCCTCAATCTCAGACATCCGCCCACCTCTGCCTCCCAAGTGCTGGGATTAAAGGCATGTACCACCACACCGGGCTTAAACCTAACCATTTTTAGAACATCTTTATACTCAGGCACCAGCTTCCACTCATCAAGCAGACATGCCACCCATACTGCATAGAAAAGAGTTCACTGGAATTTCCTCTATGGACACCTCACCCAGACTTTGAGAACTCAGCCTAGGCCATATAACTACTGACATAGCAAGAAGGCACACTATCCCATACCACATGTGGAAAGGCAGCCACATAGGGATTGCCTCCTCGGGTACTCCACCCTCAGACTTTTCAACCTCACTTGCATGCCTTAATACCCATAGCCATAGCCAGGACCATGCAATCCTTCCAAATTCATCTTTGGTTCTGTCAGTCCCTGTTCAGGTACCAGTTATGTTGCATAACACTATTTCTGGGGAGACATGAACAAATGTCTACTCTTCCCAGAGAGGGAAGCAATGACAGACAAAAAGTAAGAGTACCATGAATGTCCGACTTGGTGAACCAATGAGTTTTACTAGGGTTACTTACAGGAGTATAAGGGGTTACTTACAGGAGCAGATAGGACCCAAAGACGGCTATATCACTAAAAGGCCACCCCAGCATAGGTGACAGCTCATTAAGGCTGGAACTCACTATAACACTTGCAGACAGCTCAACAAGTTGGAAAGTCCTTTTCCAGGCATTTGTGTTGGTCTAAGAGTATCTCTTAGTAGCCCTTTCTGTTTATCTAAACTTGTGGCCTGAGGAGCCTAGTTATTTGATCAGGGACTTTCTGAAACTTGTTTACTTCCTGAGTCTTAATGAGTGTCCCTTTAGAACATCCGAATCTTAACTTCCCTGTAGGTTGGAATGCTTTTTAAAAAATATTTTATTATTTTTATTTTATGTGTATGAATGTATTGCCTGCATGCGTGTAAGTGCACCCATGTCATGCAGTGCCCATGGAGATCAGAAGAAGGCGTCAGAATCCGCTGGAACTAGAGTTATGGATGGTTGTTATTTGCCATGTGGGTGCTGGGACTCGAACCTGGATCCTCTGAAAGAGCAGTCAGTACTCTTAACTGCTGAGCAATCTCTCTAGCCCCAGGATGAAATGTTTTATTTTGGAGGAAACTCTTATACAAATACCCCCCACCCCACCCCCAAAAAACCTACCTCGATTATCAGGGAGCTTAACTGCATTTACCCAAGCATTTTGGGTAAGTGACTTTATTATTGACCTTTCCTGTTCTCTAAGTATTGTCATTAATTTTGCTATTACTATCAAGACTATATTAGGGCTAGGGAGATGGCTTAGTTGATGAAGTGGACCTGAGTATGGATTCTCCAGTTCTCACTGTAAAGCAAGGCAGGTATGGTGGCATGTGCATGTAATCTTAGCACCAGCTAAAGAGAAACAGGAGCTCCTTAGTCAGCTTATCTTCCTGAATTGGTGAGTTCCAAAAATTAAGTGGAGAGTGATAGCAGAGGACACTGGACGTTGACTTCTGGTCCCCACATACAATAACACCTATATGTGTGTGCATCCTCCCAAACCCCCACAGGCACATGTGCAAGTGTATTCATGTATGCACACGTATCCTCCCAACACACATTCATATGTGCACATCACACACACGTTTTTAAAAATTTTTACTTATTTTATGTGTACGAGTGTATTGCGTACATGTGTGTAAGTGCACCTGTATCCTCAGAGGTCAGAAGAAGGCATCAGATTCCCTGGAACTGGAGTTATGAACTGTTGTTAACCACCATGTGGGTGCTGGGATTTGAACCCACACACACATTTTAGAAAAGAACATTATCTGGTAAAGGTTGCTTGGGCACGTCACTCGATCTCCTAGTCCGCCTGCAAAACAGTGATTGTACTTGTTGGTGGATTAATAAGTGCTTCTTTGCTCCCTGGCACATAGTGGTATGGCCTTGGATTCGGACCTGGTTAATGGCCTCTGTTCCTTACCTACCTACACAAACTTGAGCAAATTATTTTAACTTTTTCGTCCTTAATTTCCTTATTTGCAAGATGGAGTAGTATCTTCTAAGGTTTTAAGAGGTAAGTTAGTACTAGGAAATACAGTTTTAAACAAACCTTTTAAATTACTTTTGTTTTCTCATTTCTTTTAGGTCCTTCCAGATGCACAATGTGCCAGTGTCTCAGCTGCACTTGTTCTGTCAGGCACTGCGCAGTTCCTACTGTAAAATCAAAGACCTGAAGTAAGTTGAAGTTTGCTTTAAACTTTATGGTATTAAAGGTAAAGACCGGGTTAGTTGAAATTGCAGAATGGACCTGAAAACAGACTAGTAACCTGGGGCTCAGCTTATCCATCCTTAGTGGAACAGCAAAGAGAAGCCTAGAAAGGGTTGGAAGAAATTAGTCACAGTTCTCTGTTCATCCCTCCTGCCTTTCCTCCTTTAATATGTTATTTCTACCATGATAGAAGGTGGCAGGTTGAAGCACTTGAAAGTTTTGTGTCAGTTGCCCCCTTGGGTACTAGACAACGAATCCCTTTCCTTTTTTTTACCATACCCCTAGTGTCCACCCTTGAGTTTTCATTCAGTTGGTCCTTTTCTATTCCATGTAGCTTGATGATCCTTTTCTCTCCATCAGTCTCCCATCCTTTACATTTATTCTAAAAGTGCCCAAAGAACATCTCCTCCCTGCCCTGGCCTTTTATCCACACTCAGGTGCATTGTCCATATCTCGCACGTAATCGGCCTCCCTTCCCTCAATATTCCTACCCCTTTGCCACAGACATCAGTGTCTGTTCTCTTTTTCTCCTCCCATTCCTAAGGAAGAATCAGTCTTTCCAAACTCAGCTGAGAAAATTAATTTCCTTTAGTTTTGTGAACAGAACATCTTATGGTTTACACTTTTTTTACACAAAAGTATATAAAACAAAGCTTTTCACCTAGCTGCCCTGTACTCTATCCTATACCCCACATCATACTACCTCCTATTTCCTGATCCTGAGTTCTCCCTCCCTGCTGAATACCTTGTTGACTGATGTATTTCTGTAACTTTTCTTATTAACAGTCAAAATATAAATGTACAAATTTTGTAAATGTAAATTTATAACATTTGTATATAGCGTATATACACAAACACTTAAAACCTTTTGGTGTTTCTATTTTCTATAAAACAAAAACAGTATCTTCTATAACATTTTATTTCTAATACCATTGACTATGCCCCCCATAGCGTACAGAAGATCATTCTCTAACATTATCTCTCACATTTTCAAACATCTGCTAGATCTTCAATAGCTCAAGTTTCTCTCATGTTCAAAATAGTCCTCTCAACCATGTATTTTGCTTTACTCCTTCCCATCACGGCCTAGAGTACTTGAAGAGCTTCCCCTTGCTCTTTAGTCCTGGCAGTCTGATTTTTACCTGTCACCACTCTGTATTCGCTTGAAGAGTCAAAGTAAATACCAAACCTTTAGTGGGGCACTTTTCATCCCACCTCAAGCCTCTATGATCTTTTCTTTTGATTCTTTTGTTCAAATTGCTAAGTGCATCATTGCCTGTACCCTTCCCAAGTCAGGTTCATTTTACAGTCTTGCAGACATGTGTCGTATCCAGAGGCAGTTTCAGTTGTCCTAACTGAGGGGGTAGGGAGTGGGATGTGCAGGCAAGTTCTGAGAAAACCTAGGGATTCTGCTGAACAGCTTACACTGCAGAGGAAGCCCTAGCCCACATCAAAGAATTATCCTAATCCAGGTGTCAAGTGCACTGAAGTTAGGAACTCTGTAGTAGAAAGAGACAAACAAGCCTAAGGTCTGTTAGCAAACTGTAAGCTTGGAATCTGACCCCTAATCCTGATGGTGACTGCACCCTCACCAGTAGCAGACAACCTAAAGTCACATTTCTGCCACTGCAGGTGTCCCACTGCCTCAACACCTTTTGATTTTCCAGGTCCACAGTCACTAGGGGATGACCAGGACTCTTTCAGTTGTTTCAGTCTGGTCCAGGTGAAGTTCCTCCCCATCCTTCAACCTGAGGACTAAAACACAAATAGAGTTACTCTCAAAACATCTTATAGTCACCAGAGGGGGAGAAGCAGACCAGTTTCCCATTGCCCCATTCACTGCCACCTTCCTCTACCACCCCCTCCCACTGGGGTAGGATTCTGTTCTATTTTACATTTCTGAATATACCAAGAGCTTTATATTCACAATCTCTTCCATTTAGCATGGTACTGAACTAGAATAGAGAATCCCGCCAGATACTGCATGCTTTGGCCTATCATATAGACTTGGCTAACCATTTGGGCACTATCATTTGCCAACTCACCTTGTGACAGTGGCAGGAGTTGCCTGTTCAGATCTGACTGTGTCTGGTTCTGCCCATGGGGGACTAGGAAAGGTTCCAGGCAAGAGGCTGTGCAATCATAGCAGTCCTCTCTTGCCCCTGAGGCTGGCATCCTCTGTACAGTCCTTCCGAATTCTCACAGGGCTGGTAAAATCTTCTGCCGTGTTAATTTGAGTAAAGCATAATCCTGGGGTTGACCCATCCCAGGCTTCATTTGTTTTATTTCTTGTGATGTAACTCTCTCAGAACATGAGCTTCCTATCCAATTCATTCCTGGGAACACCCATCCCAGACATGGCTTCATTTTTAAATGTAACCCTCCTACCCAGTTCATTCCTGGTGATGCTTGGGATGAAGGAATCCCCACTGCTTGCTAATTGTGAATTGAACTGCCATGCCAATTCCTGTAGTTTCTTTCATGGTGTGTTGTTTGAAACTGCTTCTCTGAGCCAGGCATGAATATATGCATGCAGCCCCAACGCTTGGGAAGTAGAGGCAGAAGGGTCTGGAGTTCAAGGACATTTTCATCTACATAGTGCATCTGAGGCCAGCCTCAGCTATATGAGAAGACCTTGTCTCAAAAACAATAAGAAAGAATAAAAGAAAGGAAAAAATACTGCTCTTGTGCCAACCAGACACAGGAATAATCTAGTTGGCCAGAACAGGAGCCCACTTGAGGGGATCTGGGTAAAATGGAACTTTAGGAAGTGCAAGGGAGCGGAGTTCTCTGGAGCTACTTGATCAGCTCTTCTGTGTTTCTCTATATTTGTCAGCTCCCTGGAACCTCGTGTTAGTAGTCCTCTAAAAATCTGTTAGAAATATACCTATGTCTCTTCCCCACCCCAGCCAAGCACAGGTCTCAGCCAAGGCCTACATTATCATTGACTGTTACTGTGCCCCCAAATCCTAGCGATCACCACCTCTTTACCCAACTCTGTCTTGATTATAGAATCTACTTCTGATCAGACCCTCAAACCTGAGAATAAGTTTGGCTCAAAATGTGTCAAATAACCACTCTGGCTCAATCATCTAAGACCTAGGTGTGGGGAGAAGGTGGAGGTTTGTATACATGGTTGCCTAGGTCAACCAGACTTTAGGAGGGCAGTTTCTCCCTCTCTCTCTCTCTCTCTCTCTCTCTCTCTCTCTCTCTCACACACACACACACACACACACGCACACACACACACACACACACACACACACACACACACACACACACACACGCACATAAGCAAAGGAAGTGAGTCAGTTCTGGCGTGTTGAGTGCTAATCAGGAATACAAAAGAAATGATCAAAACTTGTCCCTCCCCACACCATCTGTACAACCTCTCTCCCTTGCACCTCCCATAAACCCTTTCTCACTCTCCTTTTCCTACATCTGAAAATCGATTTCCCTTTGAAAAATTTCTATTTCACATTTCTGAATTCACTAAGGGCCTTGCAGCCAGATCGTCCTCCCACAGCAGAAGCAATTTTTCCTCCATGAAAAATTCACAGATTTGCACCAAGGGCAATCCCAGTCCTTGTGCCTGCGAAATGATTTTCTCTGCTTCAGGAATCTGAACTCTCTTTCTTTCTGGGGTCCTTCAAGGACTACCATGGGGCCCTCCATGCCATCCAGATTCATATCACTGGCCATGAAATAAGGAGGCATCTGAGGCTCTGTGACTGTGCTTAATGGTGGGGATGAGGTGGGGGTGAATGGGAAGGAGCTTTCGTAAGGGTATGTGAATGGGGCAGGGAGTTGGACATTAACAGATTCAGGGGAAGCTGCAGACTCAAAAGCAAAGGTCCCTGAGAAAGAACACACTGATGTTTCAACCGATCTGACTTTCCGCTTACTCTGCAACCCCCAGGGCAGATTTTTCCAGGCCCTATGTCCAAGAGGCTGCCAGGTACTTCCTTTCAGCTTCATTGTGGATGCCACAGGGCCAGCCGCCTCTATGTCTGCATCCATTTCCTTTTTCATTTCATACTCTGCTACAGCAGGAGCTGCTGCATCCTCCTTCTCACTCTTTTGTAGTGTTGGTGTCCCTGCCCCTCCGGCATCAGCACCAGCCGTAACTGGCACCTCTGGAGTGGCCCTCAGCTCCTAAGAGAGAAGCGGGCAGGGTTGAGTGTTCTGGGAATGGGATACCGGTATAGAGATGGGCTAGAATGGGAGTAAGATGGGGCGGGGTGGGGGGGGGTAGAATCATACCATGTGTAGCAGTTTTAATCTCAGTAGGTCCCGCTCTCTCTGCACCTCCGCCAATTTGGCCTGGGTCAGCCTAAGTTGGGAGGCCGTCTCTTTGCGCTCTATCTCTTGCTGCTGGATGAGCTGCTTCAGGTCTGATACCAAGGCATGTGCAGCTGACCTGTGCTTGCTGGCGAAGTCACACAGCCACTGCACCCTGCGTGCTTGCAAATGGCCCTGCATGCATGCAAAGCGCATGCCCAGGGCCAGGCTGCTCCAGGCGCAGGCTTCCTGAACCTCTCTAGGGACTTCGCTGTCCTGCAGGAGGAACCTGAACTTGTCTTCCACCTCCTCCCAGGACTGGGTCAGGTTCTCAAGGTAGAACTCTGGGCCTTTCGGGTGTTTGCCCATTTGCTCATTGATGAACATTAACACCTTCCAGTACCGAAACCCACTGTTGGGGTCCTTGGGATTCAAGGCCATGATGGCTGAGTGCCTTCAGGGCTTCACTGGCCCTGGAAAAAAAATAAACCAGTCCTCCCATCAGCCTCCCCTCGATCCCTTTGCTCTCCCCTCCCAGACCCCAGCCACACTCTAATAATGACTCTCTAGAAAGGTGGTTACTTCCCTTGGATACCTCACACGAGGCTTCACCTCTCCAACCAGTGGCCAGAGGAGGTTAGGTACTGGCCCATCACATTTGCAACAAGACCAACATTTTAGGCCAAGAAAAACAAGCTGAGAAAGTGAGCAGACCTTATACGTATCTTCTCTTCTGCACCTCTCCCGCCGAAAGCGTCTCAGAAATGGAGTCTCCTAAGGAAGTCTCGCGATTTTTGCTCTACGACTATTCCAACTTCCAGAGACTGGGGGGTGTCCTGAAAAAAAGGGAACTGTTTGAAAACCCTCGAAGGCTGGAAGAAGCAAGAGTAAACAGGAAATAAGTATCCCCTAAGTAAGCCTCCAATTCCACCCCCAAGTGTAATAGTTTGTCCCATGCCTGGTAAGCCCACCCATAGAGATAGAATGTTCTAGAATTCGCAGCAAGCCCCCCCCACCCCCCTTTACTGCGTGAAGGAAAAAGATGCATCTTGGGAGCAGACCCATCCCCCCAGAGGCTCCAAGATGGTCCCTGTAGGCAAAGGGTAATAATTTGTGGTTGTTTCTTCCCCATCCCCAAACAAATCACCTCCAACCCTTGCCCACTGCCATTATCACGTGCACCCTCCAGTGTAGCTGCTGCCTGCTGCCTGCACCCTCCACTACCTTCACCTGCACCCTCCACTGCCACTTTCAGTCACCCTGCAGCTGCTGCCTGCACCCTGCACTGCCACCGCCAGACCCTCCACTGCAGCGCCACCTGCACCCTCCACTGCCTCTTTCACTCATCCTGCAGCTGCTGCCTGCACCCTCCACTGCCACCACTAGCACCCCTCCACTGCAGCACCACATGAACCCTCCACTGGAGCGACCCCGGCACCCTCCACTGCAGCGACGCCTGCAGTGTCCACTGCCACTTTCACTCATCCTGCAGTTGCTGCCTGCACCCTTCACTGCCACCACCAGTACCCCTCCACTGCAACGACGCCTGCACCCTCCACTGCCACCGCTTATACCTTCCACTGCTTCCACCTGCACCCTCTTCTGCAGCATTGCCTGCACCTTCCACTGCCACCTGCAGCAGTTGCCGCCACTGTTGCCAACCCGAGGGCAACATAGTCAGGTCTCTGTCCCCGACCGCTTTCCGTCTCGCCAGCAAGAACGACGCAGGAGGACAAGTCAGGATCCTTCTGCAGCAGTTTATTTGAAGACTGAAGACCAAAGACGCCGAGAAGTGGGAGAGCTGTTGCTTATATATGCCCCAAAGGTCCCATTTATGACGTATAAGAAGCGGATTGGTTGCTGGAGATCACGCCACGGGAGGAGGCGGGGGAAAGCAGGCTCTTGTGCACGCCCCTTATGGGTGTGGCAGGATGTTTACTTTTAAGAAGGTCCGGATACCGGCGCCATCTTGTAATGGCGGCGGAGGCTGTGGCTCTCCACACCCTGCCATAGTGTACACATATACATACAATAATAATACATTTTTTAAATCCCAATACAATAACAGTAAAAGCAATAATGTGTACAAAGCTCAATACTATTCGACAATGGGGCACAAATGGTACTATTTTCATATGACAAGGTTCTCACTCCATGGCAATGAAGAGACAGCTATAGGCATCTTCCCATTCCTCCGTGGGGGAGATGATTTCCTGAAATCGGTCCCCGAATCGCTGCTGCAATTGGGCTTTGGACCATGGGCATGTTTGGGCGGGGTTTCCATATTTGTCTGGGCCCTGGAACTGAGGGCCCCTCATCTCGTTTTTTGGCTTAAATTCTTGTTTTGGGCTCTTCCAAGGCCTTGGGGGAACCAAAAGTTTTCCCTCAATGTCTCTTATAGATCTACAGTTCTCGGCCTTGTGTGCCCCTTTTCTGCATCTAGTGCAGATTTTAGTTGTAAGATTATTTGGGGCTGCACTCTTGCAGTCTTTTTTTAAAATGTCCCATTTTGCCACATTGATAACAAGGTCCTTTGCCTCTTCCTTGAGGAGCATTTTTGGCAATATGCATTATAGCTGCCGCCAGCCCTGCATTAGATAATGGGCCCCCTAACTCTCTACATACCCTTAACCAATCTTGTAATCCTTTACCCTTTCGAGGGGCAATGGCATTACGGCATTCTTGTGTTGCTTGTTCAAAAACTAATTGCTCAATAAGAGGCATTGCAGATTCTGAATCTCCAAAAATTCTGTTTGCTGCCTTGGTCATCCTGGCCACAAAATCTGAAAATGATTCCTGTGGGCCCTGTATAATTTTGGTTAGCTGGGTTGCTCCTTCTCCCTTTTTAGTTAAAGCTTTCCATGCTCTAATTGCCGTCATGGAAACCTGTTGATAGGCTCCCCAGGCATAAGTATTTTGTTCATTTGCATATCTTCCTTGTCCTGTTAACATTTCATATGTCCATTGTTGTTGTTCAGGGGTTAAGGAGGCTGCATTGATTTGGGCTTGCTCTTGTGCAGCCTCATACCATAGTGCCTTCCACTCTAAAAATTGGCCCATGCTATTAAGCGTAGCCTTTGCAATAGTTTGCCAGTCAGTAGGCGTCATAGAATCTCTTGCCAGTCTGTCTAGCTGTGCTAAAGTAAAATTTGCATTCACTCCATATTTTCTTACTGCTTCAGCCAATTCTTTTATTTGATTATAGTCTATAGGTGCATAGATCCGTCCCATGCCTTCTTGCCCTTCTATGGGTGCTTCAAAGACTGGGAAGGCCATACCCAGCTTTTTCCTCACAATTTTAGGGAGGAGTGAACATGATGGCTGTATTGAATAAGGTGGGGGGGCAGTAGCAGCTCCCCGTCCCACAGCGTAGGGCACTGGGTTCTTATATTCCAGTGGCCTGTATCTATTTTCTTCATAATTTGCTGCTTGTTCTTCTAATTCTATCTCTTCTTCTGGGCTTAAACTGCTCTCTTCTAACTGCAGAGCAGCAAGTTCCCTTGTGGGGTATAAATACCCCTTTGGTAAGTTTCTTCCCTGTCTAAAACCTGTTACTTGGTTTCTTGCTCCGTCCTTTTCGACAGTGCTCTCTCCCCTGCCTTCCTCTGGCTTACCGGGAGGTCCATTTTCACTTTGGGCCCTATTTTCTTTTGCACGTGCTCCCATCCTTTCATTTCGTTCGGTTTCTGATAGGCTGTCCTGGAGATCCTCTAGAACCATTTGCCCTTCTTCCTGACAGTAACCCGCGTGGAAGCATAGGGTGAGAAGCAGAATCATAAAGGCTCCCATAATCAAGGCGAAAACAATTCCAGCAATCTCCACAATATCCATACCTCTCCGAACCTACCTGCAGTTCTGAATCCTCCTCCTGTATTGGAGGGGTCTTCGGGCGGCGCCAGCGATGTTGAGTCCCGGGTCTCGGCACCAGCTGTCCCCGACCGCTTTCCGTCTCGCCGGCAAGAACGACGCGGGAGGACAAGTCAGGATCCTTCTGCAGCAGTTTATTGTATGCGCATCTTACACTCTTAGAAGCTTAAAGACCGAAGATGCCGAGAAGCGGGAGAGCGGTTGCTTATATAGTCTAAAGGTCCCATCTATGACGTATAAGAAGCGGATTGGTTGCTGGAGATCACGCCACGGGAGGAGGCGGGGGAAAGCAGGCTCTTGTGCACGCCCCTTATGGGTGTGGCAGGATGTTTACTTTTAAGAAGGTCCGGATACCGGCGCCATCTTGTAATGGCGGCGGAGGCTGTGGCTCTCCACAGGTCTCCTTCATTTCTTCCATCCACCACTGCAGCTCTCTGACATCAGGAAGTTCTCATTTTACCCTGTCATCAGAGGGATCTGAATGTGTCCTTAAAACGCTCAATGACTTTCTGAGGTCTAGACCTCAGAAACCAGATAGACCACAGGCTAAGTAATGATTTTCTATTTATTATATGACCTTGTTGACAACCGAATTTTGATTTCTCCCTAAGGGCCACGTGGAGAACCAAATGACAGAAGTATGTATAAAGTTAAAGGTTTTCTGTGGTCCAATTTTCATAAAATGTACAAACGAAGAATATGCCATACGTGTGTTTGTGTGTGTATTGCATGTTTCTGTAATCTCAGAGAACTGAAATGGGAGATGATATACATCAATACTCAACATTCATTATTTCTGGGAGATGGACTCATGTAGGAGGGTAAGAAAAATGTAGGCTTTTAAAACTTTAAAAAATTCTCTCTCTGGTTGCATTTGCTATAAAGAACCATTTAAAAACATGGTATTGTATGGCATTTTAGTACTAATTTTCTTTGAGAATAAGATTAGAGAGCATTTTTTTAAAATGTTAAATTTTTTTTCTCTCATAAAATACATTTAGGGGCTGGAGAGATGGCCACACATGCTTGAGGACCTGAGGTTTGAATCCTCAGAACCCATGTAAAGCCAAGTATGTTAGTGGTCTTCTGTGATCCCAGTTCTCCTGAGGATAGATGGAAGACAGACAGGAGAACCTGGAGCCAGCTAGCCTAGTGTTGGCAACAGCAAGGGAAGAGTTGCTGTCTCAAACAAGGTGGAGGGTTAGGAGGGTCACCTAAGGTTGTCCTCTGTTGCTCTTTCACTTTCTTTTTCTCTTTCTCTTTCACTTTCTCTCTCTTTCTCACAGACACACTTTTTAATATTTATGTGTGTGTGAGTGTGTGTGTGTGTATCTGTTGGATTGTATGTATACCACATGAAGTGCCTGCAGTGGCCAGAAAGGGCATCGGATCTCCTGGAACTGGAGTTAAAGGTGGTTGTTGAGCCAACTGATGTAGGTGCTGGGAACTAAGCTTGGATCCTCTGCAAGAACAGCAAGTGCTCTTAACTGCTGAGCCATCTCTCTAGCCCACACACTTTTTTTTTAAGTTTAAAATAATGTGTATTATGTTTTCCCAAATTGAAAAAAAAAGTT